CAAGAAGTGGAAATCAAAACTCTGATGGAGTTTGTTCTTCTGTATGGTGTAAATATATGTTTCTCTTATTGGATGATGAATAAAGCTGTTTCAGCCAACGGACTGGAAGGATGCATATGTGGGGTTATCAGACTAGGAGAACTCTGGGAAGAGGAATGCAGAGAGTGAGTTGCAAGAGAGATGCCACGTAGCTACTGGGAAGATAGGATGGCTGAGCATTTTCCAGTAAGGCAAGACTACGTGGAGAGACACAGATTAATACTTAGGGGTTAATAGTTAATAGAGAGCTAGCAGGTAAGAAAGCTAAGCATTAGGTCAATCAGTTTATAATTAATATCAACCTCTGTGTGTTTATTTGGGACTAAAGTGCTGCAGGACTGGGTGGGACAGAAACGTTCATCTACAAAAGTACTTAGAGATTTTTATCTTACACCAGAAAGAATTACCAAGGTCAATAAAACAAATAACAGCTTATGGTGGTGAGGATGTTATATAATAGGAACTCTTCTGCATTGCTGTTGTGAGTGAAAACTTGTATAGCCACTGTGTGGAACTTCCTTAGGAAGATGGGGATTGATTTACCTCAAGATCCAGCTGTGCCACTCATGAGCATATGCATAAAGGACAGTAAACCATACAATACTGACACTTGCTCAACCAGAATCATTGCTGGTCTACTCATAATAGCCAGCAGTTGTCCACCAACGGATGAGTGACTGAGACAGTTATGGTTCACAATGTCATTGAGTGAAAAATGCAGTTTCCTCATCTCTAACTGTTTAGCCATCTCTTCAGTCACAATTACTCAGTGGGGCCTACTGTGGGAATTCTCTGTTTTGTCTCAGTGCAGATGTCCTCATGTGGAATGGCATGGGTTCCATTTTACATTTCTAGCACCCTTACTGAGAGAATAACCTAGCTCCAAGTCCAATGTTTATCAGTCTGAATTGGCTATTCCACTTCCTTTCACGCTCTCAAAATCTCTTCAACACAATGCCTCAGAATGCACAGAATCGGTAGCATGATAGTATCCTCATTCTAACAGTACTATTTGAACTCATTTTCATTCACCATTTAATTAAATCTTCATTTCTCTCAGTATATTGACATATGTCGTGCACAAATTGATACTTTTTAATGATACCTTGTCATTAATTTTTGGAGTTATCTGTTAATTGATAAAAGTAGAATCCATGTTATTCTTTTTTAACTTGACTCCTATGGCTCCACATTGGCAAATTATTCAATATTTTCAGGATATTTGTTTTGATTTTCTGTAGCTCCCTTGGGATGTTTCTTCACAATGCTCACCACATCTACTCACATTTAATCCAGGGCACATTATTACTGTGCACCTAATGCGACAACAGAGAACATCAGAAAATACTGATGAAAATAGTGTGCTAACCAGGCTCTCCCATAATCAATTACTAATTTTTTTAACATTCGAGGTTCTGTGCCTAAGTTTGCAGTGGAGAGGGAAGGAAAATATGGCATCAATGCCAAGTTTGTCTATATGTGAAGTTTTTAATTTTTTTGTTTCATATGTATGGATATTTTGCCTACATATATGCATGTGTACCAGATATAAGCCTAGTACTCCTGGACGCCATAGAGGAAATCAGAAACCCTGGAACTGTGCATACAGATAGTTCTTGGCCCTTATGTGGGTGCTGGGAATCAAAACTGGGTCCTTGGGAGGTGTAGCCAGTCCTTCCTTGCCTGCTTAGCAACTCTCCAGTCCACTATGTAAGCGTTTTTATGAGGAATATGAACAATGACTAACATTATTTGCAAACCTAACTATTAGAAACTTGTGTCTAAAATGTGTGAGAGTTGTTATGAAGGACTAAGGTGCACGTTGAACCACAGATCCCTTTGATTGTTTAAACAGCTGAATTCTTAGGATTACTGGATAAAACAGAGCTAGGATAAAACATCTCATCAAAATAAAAAATACAAAACGTAAAAGAATGATGTGAGGGCTGTAATCAGAGGCTTACACTGTAATCCCAGAACTCACAAATTAGAAGGAAGAGGAGCAGGAGTACTGGCCTGTTTCAGATCCTGAACTATATGAGATCACAGATCAGGAAAAATATTAAATGTAAAAGAAAGACTGCTTTGAGAAGGATGAGCTGAGCCGGCCAACTCCAGAGGGGATGCAGTAGAATTGGAGAGCTGTTAGACTCTCATCTTTGAACTGATTCAGTGAGTGAACAGGGCCTGAAGACACAGAAAAACTGTTGGATACCCTTTCTCAATATGGAAGAGCCCATATATCCATCAGACACATTTTTGGGGTCCTTCTATTACTCTTACTGAGTTCCCAAAAGATCGTTCTCATTTTTGTTTTCTTTTATTTCCTCTCAGAGCTTCTGGTCCAGAATGGACTATTTGTATAGGCATGATAACTCAGATTATTAGAACAATTGTGATTATAAGTACGAGGAAACATGGTGTGGTTATGGGCGGAGGAAATCTCAAAATAGAGTTTATTTTTATTTTGTTTTCCATCCTTCAAGAACTGTGAAGTTTAGTGTTGTCTAAGTTTGACCTCTGAAGTGAAGAACCAAGGCCAAGAACTGCGGTTCCTCCAGGTTAAGAGGTTCAAACCAAGCTTCTTGGTGGACTGTTAGCTATTTCAGATACCCTCCTCAGTTTGGGCAGGAAGAGCATCTTGCAGATGTGAAAGGACAACACCACTGCTGAGGGCTGATGGTGTGACCAGAGGTTGGAGGTGTGATTACCCTGAATACACAGCTTCAGGAAGCTGTCTCATCGGAAGTGAGTGGGCACATGATGAGGTTTCCCAGATAAAACAGCTCATGCAGGAAGGAGTCAAGAACATCAGTATATATTGTAAAATATATTAATGGTTGTCTGAATGTGGGGTTTGCACAAAAGTGAAATTAGAAGAAAAATTAAGGAAAGTGGAAAACATTTTCCAAATTTCTCACCTTTCTGTTTATCAGGTGGTTATGATGCAATTCCATACTTTCCATTTTATTCACTGTGCTTTGCACAAAGAACTGCAGTGTGGGTGTCAATCGGTTAGTTATGAAGATAATCTATTTTCTAATGTAAGCATCTTCATTTGAAGACTTTTCTTTACCAGAAACTCGGTGCTCTGTAGTAAACAGATGAATTTGCAGCTGCTGCTTTATTTGGCATCCCGAAAGTCATTGGTATGATTCTGCTTCTTCCTAAACTAAAACACTGGTGTGACTCTGTCTTCACTTTGTTTTTAGTTTCTGGTCACTTTGTTGTCCTTGTTTGTCAAGCACACTGTACGTACCATATCTATTTTGCATTCTGCTATCACAGAGAGGAAGGAAAGGATTTTGAGCATGTGTCACAGACTTGGCCAGAGAGGAGACAAGCAACACTCAAACATGTACGTCTGCTCTGCACTTGCTCGGTGTTCCTCCTGAGGACCACAGCCTCCAATTGAAGACAGAAATCAGAAAAATGTCTCAACAGAATTAACCTTTCTATGAACAGTTTCTTGTGAACGACATTTGTGGTGTTATCTACAACAGCAGTTTCTCACTGCCGTGGACTTGCAGGGTCTTCAGTTTCACTTATAGTCCATTTTATTCTAAAAAAAAACCAACAAAAACAAAACAAACAAATAAAAATACCACCTGTTCTCCCAATATCTTAAGATCTTTTTCCTCTGTCACTAAATATGGCCAACAACAAAGGGGATGACGGATTTATTTTAGCTCACAGTCACTGCAGCATCTTCTCACACTTCATCTCAGAGTGAGTGATGAGCATTTGTACTCAGTCGCTGTCTTCATCTCTATGGTCTGAGATTCCAGCACAGGAAAATGGCATCAACTACAAGGGATGGACCTTCCCACCTCAATTTACCTAGCAAAGATAATACCTCAAAATCTTTTTCAGAGCTAAATCTTACCTAGATAATCTCTGTCCCAAGGCTCTTCTCTGCCTGCTGCTGTCATATCCAAAACACTAACCACCACTCTTAGTGTGACATGGTAGGTAGAGAACCTAGCTTTCTGTGTGTGCTGGTTCATTTCAGTTGCTATACTGCGGTTGCAGCAGTGTGTTGCCATGTATTGTTACATGTAAGTTTTTGTTCATATAAGCCTTATTGAAGCTGTCATAGGCATCACCCCACACACATACAATGGAAACTGATCTAGTAGCATACATATGTCACAGAGAACTGGAGAGGATGAGGCAGGAGAACAGTGAGTTTGAATCTAGACTTTCAGGCCATTATTAGTTATAGAACTTGACCCTGTCTGAAAAATAACCAAGAAGCCAAACTAAGCAACCAAACAAATAAACGAATACTTAAGGAGTGTGCATGTAGCTCATGGTACAGCACTTGGAGGCATGCATAAAACCCCGGGTTTGATTGCCCAGTCACACTGAAATAAAAGAAATGAAATCACCTGATGCAAAAAGATATCAACTTTCATTTTAAATATTATGCGTAGATTAAAAAGTAGCTCAGAACACACCAAGAATACCACAATGGAAATATGATCGTCTTATGGCATTTCTAATACACATTTACTTTCAATAAATACAGTGCAATAAAAGAGTAATATTTCCTTTGAAATAGTAATGTAAGGAAAAATTCCTGAAAATTATTAAAATTTGGAACTGAGGAATTTAGTCATCCCATTTATTCTTTATAACCTGTTATTTATATAGAACTGTTTCAGCCATCTCTTCTAACCAATCTTTTTATAGTTACATTACATTTTAGCCGAAGATATTGGCAGTGTATTCTCTAAATGTATTTTCCTTTAATCCTTTCAGTCACCAAATACTGATTACAAACATGATTCTGCTTCATATGAAGTGGGAATCATTTCAAATGTTGGAATGCATAACTCATGCTTCCTATCTTTCAGCTCTCAAAATACAATTTCCTCTTTTCACTTTGGTTAAGAGGAGGGGCAAAACTTTAACAGCTGAAGTATACAGAAGGGACACTTCTGCTTTTAGTTTTGAGCTTCTGAAGAAATACAGAGCTGGAAAGGACAACTTGCTCCTCATCTTTGGTTCCCTCCATTTGCATTATTACCTGCTTGGGGAATAGGTAACAGTTATTTTGATTTCTGAAGATATCTCTTTCACAGGATACTTATTCTAGAGAAATGCTGTTCAGTTACAAATGGCATACATGACAATGGCATAGATAAGAAAGACGATTGATCATATTAGAACTTTACTAAGTCTGCCTGTGAACATTGGCGTTAAGCTTCAAGAAAGGTATTTTCTCTTGGTGTACTATTATATCCATTTTATGTAATCAAAAACAATGATCAGTAGAATTACTTTGTAATTAGTTCAAGTGGCTTACATAGTTTCTTATGTGCTTGGTAGAATTTTGTAATAGGAAACCATTTTATTTTTAGAGAAGTAGGTTACTTGTAAATGAGTTTAGAAAATTTCATCAATTAAAATGTGTTAGAAGTATTAAACAAGAATAGATTCCATCCACATATTTTTAATATTACCTATTTATTCAGTTGCCCCTTAAAATACTGTTTAATGGAAGAAACAAGGCAAATTATATATACCTCTAATTTAATAATTTGTATATTGATTGCTATCCTAAGAGTGAATAATTTATGAGTATTTATATTGCCTACTGACAAATTATCATTCTTTTTGTTTTTATTTTTTTTAGACAGACACCCTCTCTGCTGTGGTGGCTATTTAGGGATTTGATATTTAGATATTCTGGCCTTAGGGATCCTCCCGCTTGTGACTCTGAGTGCTAGTACAAAAAAGCATGTACCACTGTGGAAATTTTTTATTTTTAAATGGAGTCCTCAAGTAATGTTATACACTACACTGATTTTTGTGGAATATTCACGTCCATGGAATCCTTTGCAATTATAAACACGGGTGTTTTGGCTTTTACTCAGGAAACTTTTATTATTGTAACTTCCAATAGTATTCCTTTCATATAATCCTTTGGATATTGTTTCTGGCATACACTTTGTAAATGTGTCAAAAGACAAAAAGATCATTTTATGTCTACTTGTGTATCACAACTTTTACAAATGCTTTAAAAGCAAAGAGATTTGGTTTTAAGCAAGTTTTGAATTCCCAATATGTTAGTAATACTAATAAATTATGTCAGTTGCTTGGGTATCACCAGTTTTGTCAAGCCCTACTATTACCCAATCCTTTATTTGGCAATTCAGGTTTTTTTTCCCCAATACCTCCCAAAAATCTTTGATGTGACCACTAGTTAAAAATATTTTTCACATCTTTTGGAAACCAGTCACCATCCACACTCTTTACAGTATTCAGATGCTTAAAGGAGTCAATAAATTTCTACCCTGCCTAAACATAAAATTCGAGAATGTTCTAAACTTGTACCTTTAACTTTTTCTTTACCTAGATATCATCCCAAGACATGCTTTTAATTTAAACCTTCATTACTTCCTTTCAAGATGAGTAATCAGGAGGTGACTTATTCAAACTCAAGAGTTTTTGGGTCTTCTTCAGAGGCACAGAATCCAGCCATTCCTGAGGAGACTCGAGGTCCCCAAGAGGTTGGACACAAAGGTGAATGCTTTCCTCTGACTCACTGTACACACAAGATATTGAAAACTGTCCTACCCTTTCTGCTAATTCCCAGCTGGTAATAGAGGACCATGGAGGGAAGAATAAAGATTTGAAATCTTTTTAAAAACTTATCTTTGAGACTGGAAAAAACAATAATTTATTTTGCTTTGTATTAATTCGTTATTGTTGCTATTTTTTGTTGTTGTTCAATTTTTTGAGCCAAGGTCTCAAGTAGCCAAGAATAGTCTTGGCTATGCTGTGTAGCCAAGGGTGGCCTAGAATCCTTAATTTTTCTAGCTCAATATCTCAATTCTTGGGATTATAGGTGTGAGCCGCTTTGCCTGCCTGGAATACATTTTTATGAATTGGAGAAACTATTAAGTTTCAGTTATTTTTATCAAAATACTCCTTTAGAAAGGAGTAACTATAGTCTAAAAGAACCCTGTCTTTTCAGAATGACTACAATCTTAAATAAATTAAATGTATGTGTTAAAAAAAAGTTCTTACTAAAACAAGGTATTCCATGTGTTTCATCAAACTTCAGTGCTAATTATCAGCAACAACAGTAAGGTCAGAAGGGAAGTGTAAATTATTTTCTCTCTATTTCCCTTGCCCTTCAAATATTATCACATATAAACTCTAAAGTGAACACTTTAGCTACATTAGTGTGGTAATAATGAGAGGTGGGACCCTAGAACCCAAGACCTCAATGCACAAGATTAGATATCTTATTTTCCGAGGAAAACAGAATTGATGAACAAGAAAAGAGCTGACTTTTAGAAACTCTTTAAGGATGAAACCTTGCAGAGTTCATAATATTCATACTGCCTCCCAGTTTCTCAAGCCATTGGTTGATACTTCCTTCCTCTTTGTTCTTAGTTTCGAGTACTTGGTGGGTTACTAATTACTGTCTGGAGTTCCCTACCTGCATCTTGCTTATGCCTTCAGTACTTTGTAGGGTGAACCTTTGAAACTGTATGCACCTGGATGAGACAGCCTGAGCTTGTCATTCCAGTTGCTGAATCAGAAAGCCTGAGAGTTCAAGGCTGAATGGGCTAAAATTATCTACTCATAAAGAACTGCTTCTATACATAGGGCATAAACAGAATGGGTGTATATCATCCAGAAATGTAAAACTTTAAGCTTTTCTTTTTACAGATTATTAGAATTTATTAATTACATGACATAATTGGCTTCATTATGACTTTTATATATGCATATAATTTACTGATCATCTTTAATCCATTATTAGTAGATCCTGTTCCCTCTTCCTTCTGTTACCCTTCCAGTACATCCTATCCTTCCATCTTTGACGTAAAGTTTCTCTTATTTACTTTCCATCTAATTATTAGTTACATGTTTGTCTGTTTGTATATATATATACAATTTGTAATTCCATTTGACATTGTTCACATGCATGTGTTTTAATGCTGACCACTTTGTATTAGATATTCACTTATGGGCTCATTTCTAGGAGAGATTTATTTTCTCTCTCAGCCGTTACCAGTTGCCTGCAGTTTCCTGACATGTCCTCTGGTTTTATGGTTGGTCATGTCTTACTTAGGCTATGATATTCTTTTTTTATTTTTCTTTTTTTATTATTTATTTTTAAATTTAAATTTAGACTAGAAACAAGGCTGCTTCACATGTCAGTTCCAGGTCCCTCTCCGTTTCCCTCCCCTCCTCCCATGCCCTCCCCCAATACCCCCAATACCCCCTCATTTCCCCAAGGAAGGTGAGGCCCTCCTTGGGGGTGTCCATAGTCTGTCATTTCATCTATGGCAGGGCCTAGACCCTCCCCCAAGAGTTCATGGTGAGAGTTCATCTCACATTGTTGGATGGGAGTCCAAAGTCCATTTGTATACTCGGGATAAATACTGATCTACTGCCCAAGGCTCAATAGATTACCTAGGCCTCCCCACTGACACTTCCATTCAGGGGGACTTGATCAGTCCCATGCTGGATTCCTAGGCTGATGCCTGGGATTCAAGAGTTAAAACTTGTCAGGTAAGCTGTTTCTGGGGGTTAAACCAGCCCAGTCGTAATCCCTTTGGTCATAAGTCTTCCTTCTCTGTTACTGGCTTTCTGGAGTTCAGCTCAGTGCTTAGCCGTGGGAGTCTGCCTCTTTTTCCATCAGCCACTGAATGAAGGTTCTGTTTCCCAGACTCTCTGGCCATGGGATTGTAGGGTGGCATTCCCCAGATCTATGTGTAAATTCCATATATGAGAGACTACATGCTATGTTTCTCTTTTTGTGACTGCGTTACCTCACTCAGGATGGTTTCTTCTAGTGTCATTCATTTGCCTGCGAATCTCAGGATTCCATTGTTTTTTTCTGCTGAATAGTACTCCATTGTGTAAATGTACCACATTTTCTCTATCTACTCTTCTGTTGAGGGACATCTAGGTTAGTTCCAAGTTCTGGCTATTACAAATAAAGCTGCTATGAACATAGTGGAACAGACATCTTTGTTGTATGAATGGGAATCTTTTGGATATATGCCTAAGAGTGGAGTTGCTGGGTCTTGTGGTAGGTTTATTCCCATTTTTCTGAGGAATCTCCATACTGATTTCCAAAGTGGCTGAACAAGTTGGCACTCCCACCAGCAATGGAGGAGTGTCCCCCTTTCACCACATCCTCTCCAGCATAAATTGTCATTGGTGTTTTTGATTTTAGCCATTTTGACAGGAGTGAGATGGTATCTCAGAGTTGTTTTGATTTGCATTTCCCGGATGGCTAAGGATGTTGAGCACTTTCTCAAGAGCCTTTCAGCCACTTTAGACTCCTCTATTGAAAATTCTCCATTTAGTTCTCCAGTCCACTTTTTAATCAGATCCTTTGGTGTTTTGGAGACTTGCTTCTTGAGTTCTTTGTAAATTTTGGAGATCAACCCTCTGTCAGATGTGGGATTAGTGAATATTTTTTCCCATTCTGTGGGCTGCCTTTTTGTCTTGCTGACTGTGTCCTTTGCCTTACAGAAACTTCTCAGTTTCAGTAGGTCCCATTTAATAATTGTTGATCTCACTGTCTGTGCTACTGGTGTTATGTTCAGGAAGCTGTCTCCACTTCCAATTCGTTCAAGGGTACCACCCACTTTCTCTTCTAAGAGGTTCAGTGTGGCTGGATTTATGTTGAGGTCTTTGATATTCTTGAGATTGCTTGGTTGCAGCTTCCTTTTCATGCATATGTCCTGAATCTCTGTCTTTTACAATCTTTTCATCCTCTCTTCTGAACTGTTCCCCAAACCTAAGGTGTAGGAATGAGTCTGTATTCCAGAATTTTACTTAAATCATTAGAGTTTTCATCCATTTGTTTCATAAAATGCCCCATGGGATGGTCCTGGTGATGGTTCTCTTACCTATTTTGATGTCTTTAGGAGTGTTTAATCTCTTACATCTCATTGCAGTGCCTCTCGCGGTCCTTTGCTTACTTTTGATGATGGCAATCTCAGTGTGGCTGGTATACAGTGAGTAATTCAAATACATAAATAGTGTGCCAATAGGCACTAATTATACCCCAAATATCACACTTTGTACACTATTTTGTAAGTTTTTTTGTTTTCCCTGGACCCCTGAACCCTTGTACATTACAGTGATTCTGGGGCTGCCTTGGACTGTCTTATTCTGTCTTAACTCATGATCATATTCCTTCTGTTAATAGATGTGTTTGTGGTATTCTGCTTTTGAGCTCAGGTGATCTGACGTATACATTCTATAAGGAATAGCTATACTGAACATATTATACCATTTTATGGATTTTTGCCCCAGGTCATATTGAGGGCAGGGTTAAGTGAAAAGACTGAATCTGTACACAAAAGTTAGAAAGAAGTTCTGGAGCCTCAGTTTTATCTTTTATTGATGTCATCACATCCTTAGTTAAAACCACTGATGGGAAGGGCTCCAGCACAGCTGCATATTTGCATGTTCTTATGTCTCCTCCTGTGGGTAGTCCATCTGCTAACTGTGCTACTACTTCATGTTTTGTAGATCAAATGTTCATGGTGTGTTAGGTCTCCCTGAATATTTTACTTAAGTATTTATTTATTAGTTTTGTGTTGGATAAAAACTGAAGTAATCAGAACCTATGGTGCTTCCATAATAATATTATTTAGTTATTTTATCTGTTTTACACTGAAGTTGCAATAGTGACAAATTTATGTTTCTATTCTTATATTGAGTTAACTGAAGTGTTACTTTTTAACTGTAAAAATAGCAATTAAAGTAATGTTATGTTGGTTGTCAGCATGAAACCTTTTTGTCTAATATTAAATTTGATAATTACTTTTCATGGGCTTTATTTTAGATTTGTTACTACTTTTAGTTTTTCAGTATACTCAAGAAAAATACAAACTGCAAAAGACTCTTAACAATCTCCAGGAGTACCTCAGCATGCAAAGTATTGCCTCCTTAATGGAAGAAATAATGAGAAATAAATCAATAGAGTATAAACTCCCTCAACAGAGAATGGAATAGATGCTGTGAGAAAACTGTTTTAGATTGTTTACAGTGCACAGGTACTGGGGATCTTGAATACAGAACTGCTTTATTCTGTATTGTTTCTTCTCCAGAAGCTTTGAAGTCTAATTACCAACTTATTATGCTGGTGCTCTGTAGGTTAATAGTATGGGTTTCCTTATCTCATACGGATTCCCAGACACCTAGAAATTCCTGTTTGGACTAGGAGACTCTTATACTTTCCAGATCCAGTGGCCATTTCCCCACTCCTACTGTTCCCTGGGGATGAATCACAAAAGCCCTGAGCATTCAGGTTGTTTTGATTTATGAGCAAATCCAGGTCTCCAACATTGTTCCTGAAGAACATAAGTTTCCAGTAAGAGTGTATTTACCAAGTATTTATGAAAAAATAGAATAAGGGTGTTTATATGATTGCAGTCATAGATAACAGTGTCTGTGTATTTCCTTATTATTGGTATCAAATAAGTTGCCTGTTTGTGACCAAGATGTTCTCCCTAAATGCACATGGGAGCTTTACCATGGAACCCACAATTGTGAACTTATGTTAATGACCCCATTATTAATGGTAAAAAGATGAAAGTGTGTGTTATGAGAAAACTACTGTACCTTGCATTATGACTGCTTATCTTTAATTGACAGCTTATCGATTATCATGGACACCTGTTCAGGATTTAGAGTTTATAAAGAGCTTTAGCATATGATACCAACTCAGGGTAGGGGTTGACAATCTTCATTATTCAAGAACTAATAATATCTTTAAAACTGGTATATTAAAATATGTGAAAGAAAAACACACCAAAATAATCTTTGAAACATTCCAGATTCATCAAAAATATTTTATGTTATGATTTTAGAATAAAATAATTTTCATATCTAATTTATCATCATTTTGTAATGCTCCTGATTAGAAGGCCAAGGCAGGAATATTGTAAGTTTGAAGACAGTCTAGGCAGTCCAGCAAATTCCAAGCCAACTTGAGCTATGCAGTGCTATGACTTCACAGAACAAAGTCAGAGACAGTTTGTTAATAGATGGTGGCACTTCACCAGATAATCGTATTGAATTGTTATTGCTATACAAACTGTAAGCATTTTAATGCATTAATCTTGTCATACTTGGGGATGTGGGTATGCCCTTGAAGGCATCACCTCAAGCACCAGAACAAACTATCACCTTCGAAAGCTTCCTCATATGTCTCTTATTTCTCTTAAGAAAAGAGCATTTAACATAGATCTCAGCACAACTGAGTGCACAGTTGATTATGGACACTTTGGGCACTGTGCATTAATGTAGATATAGTATTGTGCATCCTTCTTATAACTGCCTCAGTGCTTGTTCTCCACCCCCTCCCCACCCCCAGCCACTGGGATCTTACAGGTCTCTGCTTCTTAGACCTGGGCTCTGATAGAAACCTCATCTGAGTGGAATTATAACGTATGGTCCTGGGCTAGGAATGTTTCACTTTGCATCCTCAAATCCATCCACTCTTCTCTGACAGACTGCCTTGTAAACTTCTGAGAAAGGGAGGGCATTGCAAAGGCCCTGCTCTCTCTTCAGAAATGAATCTGCTCCTAACAGATGCTGTGTGCTGACAGTAAGTGAGCAGTAATCAGGAGTCACCTGGGAGACTCTGATTGAACACTTGGCCACTTAGGTCAGGATCTCTCTTTCCGGGTATAGATGTGAAAGATGGTTTCACTCTGTAGTCCTGGCTGCAGTTTAGTGTTGTGTAATATTTCACTTGTGTTCTGACAAATCAAGCTTGCCTGGAGATGAAGCAAAGAGCTAGTCACTAGATAACCACAGAGGCCAGGCAGTGGTGGCACACTCTGTTAATCCCAGATCTTGGGAGGAGGAAGCAGGAAGATCAGAACTTCAAGGCCATCCTGGTTTACAGGATATTGGAAAAGTCTAAAAGAGAAACAGTACAGGCCAGTGGTAGCTCACACCTTTAATTCCAACACTTGGGAGACTCGTGCCTTTGATCATAGCAGCTGGAAGTTGAACTCTTTGATCCCAGCACATGAGAGGCCTCACCCTTTCTGAGACTGTGAATCCTTTGTGAACATTCATTGGTCCTCATACTACATTAAAGACATGGTTATGTAAAAACACTAGATGTGTACAGAGATGTTAAAACTTCAGTCTTATTGGATTGCTTCACATCTTTGGAGGAAATCACTCCTAGACTGTGCTAAAACATAACTAGATATCCGGCTATCATGCTTTCCATAAGGTCCTTTGAGAATTGTGCCTTATTTTTTGATGCTTCTTACTGTAGATTTCCAGGGCATGTTAAGTGTTTGCTGAATATTTTATTTAGATATTTATTTGGAAGTATTGGTCTGTTAAAAATGAAGCAATTAGAAGATATGTAATTTCCACCATAATTTTATTCAGCTGTATCATATACTTCACACTGAATTTGAAGATAGAAATTCATGTTTCCATTTTAATAGTGAGTTAATTGAAGTGTTTCTTTCTAAATGTCAAAGTAACAATAAAAATAATGATATGTCAACATGGGCTTTCTCTTTTATCTTTAATTTCAATATTTATAACTTATGAGCATTTTTGGTGTTATATGTCTGCTATTAATTTTAGTTTTTCAGTACAGACAAGAGAAACATAATCAGGAGAAGATTATAAACAACCTCTACCAAAAATATTACAGCATTAAAAATGACAGCTACTTAAAAGAACAAAATTTTAATAATAAGTCTACAGAGTGTGATGCCCTCAAAGATCGTCTGAACTCTGTCAACAGAGAATGGAAGACATGCTATGGGGAAACTAAGATTGTTTTAGATTGCATACAGCGCACAGGTATGGAGATCTTGAAAAAAGAATTGCGTTATTCTGTATTGCTTCTCACTAAACTTTGAAGCTCATTTAGCAGGTTATGATGGGGTTCCCTTACTTAATGTAGGGGCCTGGAATCCCAGATATTCCTGTCTGATTTAGGAGAATCTTATAGTTTCTGGAATTTCAGTGACCATTCTGGCTCCTAACGCCCCTAGGGGATGGAAAATCAAGTCAGCACCCATAAGAATTCAGGTTGTTTTGGTACATGAGCAAATCCAAGTCTCCAAATTTGTTGCTGACAGAAAATGGAAATTTCCAGTAAGAGTCTTTTTATCAAATATTCATGCTAAACACTCAGGATATATATATATAATCATAAAAATGTGTGTGTGTTTTCCTTCTCCCTTGGTTTCAAATAGTAGGCCTTTCTCTAATGAAGGTATCCCTCCTGCACTGCACATGGGAGCTTCCTTGTGGTGCCTACACTCATTAATTTCAATTACTGACACTGTTGATGATGCAGAAAAGATGAAATGTCAAGTGTTACAAGGTACCTTTCTTACTTTGCACCATGACTTATTGGCATAGCTTGTCAATATTTATTTAATATGTGCTCGTGGTTTATGGGTTACAAAGAGAATTTATTTATTTGTATTTATTTATTTATTTATTTTTCAGTTTAAATTTAGATAAAAAACAAGGTTGCTTCACAAGTCAGTTCCAGGGCCCTCTCCCTTTCCCTCCCCTCCTCCCTTGCCCTCCTCCCAACCCCCCCATTATCCCCTCATTTCCCCAGAGAGGGTGAGGCCCTCCATGGGGGTGTCAGGGATCATTTCTATAGTTCGTTACAAAGAAAATTTATATGATCTCACTGTGCTGTGATAGTAGGAATTTACAGTCTTCATTCAGCAAGGACTAATATTATCTTTAAAACTGTCAGTTTATAAAGTATATAACAGGAAAAGTAAAATAAAAATCTCCAAAAATAAATTTTGGAACATTCCAGACTCATGAAATAATTTTTGTGTTATGATTTTGGAATAAAATAATTGTCATTATTCAATGGTAGAATAATGCTGTAATACATGTATTTAGGAGTCTGAGGCAGGAGGGTTGCAAATTTAAGGAGAGTCTAGGCAGCCTAGTAAATTACAGGTTTGCCTGAGCTACACTGTGATACATCTTCACAAAAAAACAAAGGTTGGACATAAAGTTCATTGATAGACCATGGCCATCCCCAACACCTCCCCAAACTAAATAATTACACTGAGATGTTGCTACACAAATCGTATGCATTTAAATGTACTCAACCTAAAACATCTGGGCATGTGGCCATACATTGGAGGCATTACCACAGTCAAAAGAACAAATCATTACCTTCAAAACCGTCTTCATGTGTCTGCTAAGGTAAGAAATTTAAGAGAGACCACAGCACAGCTCTAAGTGTACAGCAGCATGTGGACCACTGTGTGTACTGAGCATTACTCCAGACCTCCTAGAATTCCATCATCTGTGTAACTGCCTCTGAGCAGGAAGTGCTCATTTTCTTTCCTTCCAACTCTTGGTAATTTACAACCCTTTGCTTTGTAAAACTGGGCTGTGTTAGAAACCTCTTCTGAGCGGAATCAAAGTATGGTCCTGGGCCTGGCTTGTTTCACTTTGCATACTATCCAATTCACTCATGCATCTCTGAGGGATTTTCTTGAATACTTCAAACGAAGACAAAAGATTGAAAAGACCCTGCTGCCTCTTTAGTAATGAGTCTCCTAACAAATGTATCCTGACACTAAGTGAGCAGCAGGCAGGAGTACCTTGGGAAATGACTCTTACTGCACATTTGGTCACATTGGACAGGCTCTCCGTTTAGCATGTTTGGATGTCAGATATGGCTTCATTCTGCAGCCTAGGCTGACTTGGAACTCACTGTATAGCCCAACATGTCCTGGATTTCACTACTCAGCCAAGGATGGCCTCACACTGGTGGTGATCCTCCTGACTTACTCTGGGGAGTGCTAGGGTTACATTCATAAAACATGACTACCAAGGCTACTTCCCTTTAAAGGCTAAGTAGCCTTCCACTGTGTGTATTGCTACATTTTCTCTACTTTTTCACCAGGAAAGAACACTAGAGTTGTTTTCATTATCTCTATTGTGATAAACAATGCTGCATAGACCATGGGGTCTTTCAGCATTCTAGAATCTCAATTTCTAAGAGCCATGCGATTATATGGGCTTAATAATATATTTTTCTGATAACAAAGTACCAGGAAACAAGAATTTTCACCATTCCCTTTTCTGTTGTAGGCAAACATGTTGAAGGACACTGGTTTTGCTGTGGCAAAAAATGTTATTATTTCATCATGGATAATAAACGCTGGCATGGATGTAAACAGACCTGCAGGGACTGCAGCTTATCCCTTTTGAAGATAGAGGATGATGATGAGCTGGTACCATAGACTCTTATATGCTTCTTTATTCTTAGATTCCCTCGCTAACAACTGGAAAATGAAATTTGAGCCTAGGCAGGTGTTTCTTTCAGGGGTTGGTTGTTGGTAGTTTTCCTGTAATGCAAGAAAAATTCATGCAAACTTACAGGACAAAATAATTTTTAATGTTTATACAGTAATTATAATTAAATTTAAGCCTGTATTCTGTATAGTCTGATATTTAATGAGATATCATGCCACTTGGATGTTACATGTTGGATGCACAAAATGCTGTCTTAATGAAGTTCTGTCATTTTGGGTCTGAACTACATCATGGCGTCCTCTCTGGAGAATGGAACTTACATTCACAGATTTTCACGTAGGAATTTTCATCTTAATGAATTTACTTTGAAGCCAGGGGACCATTTATGATGAACAATTCCCACATGCTTATGTCATGTTTTTGGAGAAATTATTTGAATAATTTTATAAAATGTCAGAAAGTATTTAATGAGCTAATGTGTAGTATATGCTTGGGAACCTGATGCAGGAAGATTGTGAGTTAAAGATTAGCCTTGCATATACACTGAGACTTTGTCTAAGAAATACAGTTAAGATAATTTAATGAATTGAGCATCACTGGACACTTGAAGTTTTCATATTAAATAACTTATGAAACTGACATTGGTTTTGACATAAATGAGCTACTAGTGAGAAACCACTTTAGAAAATGAACATTGAGGGACTGAGGGGCAGAGGGACAGGACAGCAGAGAATTAACACGGTAATAGCTGGGAATTATTCTGGTCATTTTTTTCTCACCAAACAGAACTATTATAAGATGTGTCATTTCCTTTACAGATATTCCTTAAGTCCCAACTTCATCCAAAGAGTTACTGGATTGGATTGTCATATGATAGGAAGGAAAAAGAATGGGAATGGATTGACGATGGCCCATCTAAACTGTGAGTTTCCTGAACCCCCACACTCTCACACTGGTTTAGGAGGTGGGAGGGTGGTGTGCAAAGGTTTTTCTCTCATTTCACAAGGCTCTCCTCAGTTTCTGTGGATTTCAGAGGTAAGGACAAGATGCGCAGGGAAGTGTCTCAGCAAGTGTAGGCAGGGAAGAGAAATGGTCTAGAAGTTGACTGCTAATGATGGAATACTGAACACAGCTCAGGATGGTGTATTCTCATTTGCACAAGGCACACACACACACACACACACACACACACACACACACAAACATAAAGTCAATGGAACATCCTGGTAAACATATTGAGTATGAGTATTTCAGACATTCACTTAACTTGTTTCTGTAGTTATTTATATAACTATTTATAAATAGAAGAAATGTTTATATACATTAATGTATATATCTACTTTCCATTTCAAGGTGTTGTAAAAAACCTAACGTTTATGTTCATTTCTGAGGTGCTAGAAAACTGTTCATTGATGTTCTTTATTAATAATGTTTCTTTTTCTGGAAATATATTGAAAATGTATGTGACTTGTAGTCACACATGCTTTTAATCCCAGGACATGGTAGGCAGAGGCAGTGGGTTCTCTGAGTTCAAGGTCAGCTTGGTATGCTGAGTGAGTTCCAGGACAACCAGAGTTGCACGGAGAAACCCTGTCTTGAAAGACCATCTATTGTTGATTGTTTTACTCTTTTGGGCTCTTTACTGTTTGGGGTGGCCCTCTACCCACCTAACAAATAAATAACACACGTGGAGTTTTAATTATATTTTTCCAAAGAATATATTTTAATCAGGCTTTCCACCAATAAATCCTCTGTGATCCTCCCCACCTCCCTACACATCTAACTTCGTGTTTTCTAAACTCACTATGTCCCCAAACAAAAACAAAACAAAAAGTGAAAAATCAAATTAAACAAAATACCAATAAAAGAAAAATACTAAAAATAAACCAACAAACAACAACAACTACAAAACAACAACTGCAAATCACTGCGGAAACTGTTCTCTGTTGCACAACTGTGAGCTTACTATCTAGTGAATTTCCATAAGATCTTTTCATACATTCTTCCCATAGGTCAGTCCACACTTTATCCTCTCTGGTTCCGTAACCTGCAGTACTCATCCACATTTGATCTTTTAGTTCTCAGAATACCCTCTACTTTCCTATTCATATTTATCATTCTTCCTGATGGTTAATGTTGTTAGAAATACTAAATATTGAAATTTCTCCCTAGGAATATCATGCTTAAATAATTTTGTTATCTAGTTGTGTTTTTCAGTTACCATTTGTATCAATTAGGATTCATTTTAATTTTTATTGTTTTGACATAGGGATTTATTCAGCCAGGCTCCATCTTGAAAGTGTTGAGATTAAAGGCATGTGTGACTTTTCCTGCTGTTTTTCTCTTGAAAGATATCAACCATTTGTATTTTACATGTGCTAGAAGATAATCCTAGTGTCTCAAGTTCATCTCTGTCTCTCTATGGTCTTATACATGACTGTAGCACAAATAATAAAAATCAAGAGGCAGATGTTAGGATAAAGCTAAAGATCAGAAAACAGCAGCCAAGTCACTAGACTGTTCTTACCTCTACCAAGGTTGAGATCAAAGCAGGTGATCCTGATGTCAGCGTCTCTTCAGAGTGACTTAGCTCCTGCCTACTTCTGTCTTATATTCCTCTCTAGTGCTAGGATTAAAGGCAAACACCACCACTGCCCAGTTTCTGTGACTAACTAGTATGTCTACTTAGATTTAAGATGTGTGCCACCACTGCCTGGTCTCTATGGCTAGCTAGTGTGGCTAGTTTTGCACTCTGATCTTCATGCAAACTTCATTTGCTAGAATATAAACAAAATATCACCACATTTCACATTTTTGTCTAAAATAAAAAAGGAGTTTATAACTAATATAAGAAAAACTATATATAATAATTACAATAACAGCACACAATATACAGCCAATAATACAACAACAATTGCACATTGTACATTTGCAATTGACAAATTCAAAGAAAGCATTCCATATCTACCCCCTCTTGGAGTGTCCACAAGGTTGTACCTAATTCACTTTTTATTCTAATTTATGTTACATAGAGAAAATATTCCATTATCTGTCTATATTGATGAGTCCACACAGATGTACCTAATTCACTTTTTATTCTAATTTGTATTATAAAATTATCTTTTAATGTCTCTCAACCTTTTGCACTTTACACCTTTTCAGTGAGTTTCTTTTCTGAGTCTGGTAAACAAGGAAAACTATTACTATCTAATATTCAACTCCCTCAGAGGCTGGAGAATGAAATACTATCTACGGAGTAAGCAGGAAATGCAAGCAATGAACTTCCACAGAAAATGTGTGAAATAACAGAAACAGCTAGCTGCATGGACAGTCCCCCAAGGTTCTCCAGCAGCCTGTGGAATCCCTCTTTGGCCTAAAGGCCTCCAATATTTGACAGGCTTTTTATGAAGCAGGATTTTTGATGTATTGTCCTGCTTTGTCTTGGCAAGGTTTGTCAGTCACTCTCTTTTGACTGCTTGTCCAATAGGGATAGCATATTGTCAGAAGTCAAGGCAAGGGCACTTTTGCCACAAAGAAAGTAAATTCCATGTGAAGTTTCTTTGATGCCCATCATTTTCTCTGAAGTAGATTGGTGCTGCCAGGAGCAGACTTGTCCCATTGCAATAAAAAACCTATGTTATATATATTATGTCTTAAATGCTATATTCTGTAGATGTCTGAAGTGTTTGAAGAAGACTTGTCTATCTAAAATATATTTCTTTTTGATCTTGAAAACAAACCTAATGTGACTACAAGTTTGATTACAATAGGTGACAAATTACCAAATGTATTTCTTTATTGTCCTATATAGTTGGTAATAATAACTTTCAAGAACTAGAAATTTGCATTTCGTTGTTAAATGAGCTGTATAGGTTCAATACCCTGAACAATATTAGAAACATGTACAGTATGTTTTAACAACATTCATCTCAAATTTGTTTCAACATATAAAATTTGAAAACAATATACAAAAATCCAATCCAATATAAAATATTTAAAACCAGAGGTTGCCTTTAAAAGTACATTCAGTAATCTATTTTTATCTTATATCTATATCCTCCCTTTTTTCTTTTCAGATTAGATATAATAATCTACCTACCTTTTATCATATCTATATCTATATCTATATATATATATATATACCCATTTTTTCTTTTCAAAAAGAACCTTGAATCTAATCCCCCTTGTTTAGCCTTTTTCCTGATCAGTAGCACTAACAACTTGTGGCAAATCCCCCTAAACAATGATAAATATCCATAATCCAATGAAAGATCAAAAAACCAAATATCCCACCTCTTGGGAATATGGACATCATGCTGTTAAATTTGTATCCTGCTGTCTTGGGGAAGCAACATCGTTAAGGGATCCTGAAAAGAAAAAAATTGAGTTAATGTCAAGTCCTTGGTGAGGTAGCTGTATCATTTGTCATCCAGTTGTCCAGTTTCTGCATAATGGGAAATTGGAGGTCTTGTCTCAAGTCTTAACTAGAGTACTTTGTGAAGCTAGATCATCTCAGCTAGCCACCTCAAAATTGTTCTGAGCATATTGTAGGTCAAAGATGATCTTTAGTTGTTGTTTTTCAGCTTAGTGGTATTATCATTGTGGGGTCCTATCATCCTTTTGGGGACTTCACAGGTCATTGTTAGGCATGGAGATTCAAACCTGAAATCATGTACAGGATGGTGAATTAAGCCTTTTTGTAGAATTAATTAGTATTCTATATGACCATTAAAATTTATAAGATTAATATATACTAACATATACTAATCTTATAAATTTTGGGAAAATATTTATTCATTAACAAAAGTTGTTTCTGGGCTGTGGTGGTGCATGCCTTCAATCCCTGAACTCAGGAGGCAGATCTCTGTGAGTTCACGGCCAGCCTCACCTATAGAGCAAGTTGCAGGAATGGCCCCAAAGTTACACACAGAAACTTTGTCTTAAAAAAAACAAAGAAGAACAAGAACAAGAACAAGGAGGAGGAGGAAGAGGAGAAGAAGGAGGAGGAAGAGGAGGAGGAGAAGAAGAAGAAGAAGAAGAAGAAGAAGAAGAAGAAGAAGAAGAAGAAGAAGAAGAAGAAGAAGAAGAAGAAGAAGAAGAAGAAGAAGACGGCAGGAAAAAGCTGTTAAAGAGGAAACAAAATACTTGCTTTTCTTCTTATATCAGGTGTATCTTCTGACATAAGAAAGGGATTTTGGATTTTACTTTAACAAATATGTTTGAGTTTAGAAGGAGAGAGCCACACTCCATCTCCAAAGCCAGTTTTAATCTTTAATTGGAATGGGACTACAAAATTACCATTTGTATTACATGTTTGTAGAGAAGAATGGAAACAAATATTTGGGAAGATTTATGAAATTTTACCCTGTTGTAAATGTGATATACCAATCAGTCAATTTACTCTTTTTCTTGGTACATTATTTTTGGATGATTTGTCCTTTTTCTTCAGATGTCTCATTTTCCCAGTAGTCTTCCAACTCCTTATCTGGATACCTTTATTCTCCTGAAAAGACAAAAACAAAACAATTCTCCAACCCTTATTTTGGTGAGATTATCTTTTGGCAAATTATATCTGATCAAATGAAAAACACTTGTTAGTTTTATAGGTTACTTTAGATTAAATGGCCATGAGGCTTGATGAACTATCATCTCTTCTAATTAAGGGGTTTCTCCCAAAAAATAAAAAGATATCTTTTTTGCTCAAATCAAATCTTTAACAATTTTGATTGTACGCATAGCTTTTCTTCTCATGTGGAAGCAAAAGCAAAAGCCCTTCTCCAACAACATATTTCCTGGTTTCCATTCTAAGGTCAACACATCTTTAAAGTATACTGGCTAATTTAATTCTGCAGTTTTTTCTATTATTCAATGTCTCTCTGCAGCTGTGATTCCTTTCCCATTAGCATTTAGAAAATTCAAAGTTAATAAAGCATTATGCAGTCTATTTTTGGGTATCTTTATTATCCCTTTCTGTTTATTTAGCACAGCCTTTAGAGTTTGGTTTGAGCTTTCTATAACTGCTGGCTCTGTCAGGGAAGTCAAACAATCACCATGTTTCAGTCAAGACTAATTAACTCTCAGGAGCGGGAACAAAGAGGAAAACAACCAAAGCAGTAGTCACAAACTCTTGTCTGTGACTGTATTCCAACTCTCAGCTTTCTTTTTAAAACACAAGAATAGGAGACCCTGCCCTATGTGACACACATTTGTTATCTTTTTATCTGTAGTTATTGCAAAAAGTATCATAGGGAAAAATTGTTCAAACTTATAACCTAGTGATACTGAACTGTATGTTACTTGAGGATAAAAAACTAACAGTGTGCAACAGACAAGGGATTGAGCTGTAATCAAGAGACCATTTCTATTTTGCATCTTCATTTCACTTTTTATTCCTGTTTGAATGTATGTACATTTTTTTCTTTTTTAAAATTATTTTAATTTTAAATAGCTTGTTTTACATGTCAATTTCAGTTCCCTCTCCCTCCCCTCCTTCCACACCCCCCCCGCCATTCTCCCCAGCCTCCCACACTTTTGTCAATTCCTTCCACATATGGGATATCTAGAGTCTGTCATTTCACTCAGGGTAGGGTCCAGGCACTCCCCTAAGAGTCCAGGCTGAGAGAGCATCCCTCTTTGTGTTATGGACACACGAAATCTGTTTGTGTGCCAGGGATAAACACTGATCCACTGCTCAGGGCCCCATAGGTTGCCCAGGCCTCCTCACTGACTCTCACATTCGGGGGTCTGGATCAGTCCCATGCTGGCCTCCCAGCTGTCAGTCTGGGGTCCAAGAGCTCTCCCCTGCATTTGTGTGCAAATGTCACACAGAACATGTGTAGTTAGATGGTAGTTGAAGGAGGCATTTTTATCTTTTCATTGTGTGGCATCTGAGGTCTGAAATCATGTTGTCAGGTTTGGTGACAGAGGCCTCTATTTGGTGAGTCATGTTGTTGGCCCAAGGCCATTTTTTATGACTTGAGAGAAAATGAAAAACTCTTAATGATACTCCTATTTTTAATTCTACATTCTGTAATTTTTGGTCAATAGATTTTGTTAAAAATCATGGTCTACATTCAGATGTAAATAACTGCCCATTATATTTTTTGTTTTATAGTGATTTGACATGGCTGAAATCAGTACACGATACAGGAGACTGTGCATTTCTCAATTCAAAAGGTGTACATGATGAGGACTGTGGTAAAACCCATGGCTGCATATGTGAAAAGAGAGTGGAGAAATTCCCTGGTTCAGTGTGTATTGTAAGGTAAAGATGTGCAGGAAGGTAAAAATGGAGATCTGTGTTTTGTTTCCTGTGATGATTTGTAATGAGTTAACAACTGAATATTTTATTCACAGGTCTGAGTTGGCTGTGCAAGTTGAGTGAGGAGCTGGAAAGGGAAGATATTCTTCTGAAATCTGACTTAATAGATTGGAAGCCAACTTCCTTGCAAGTACACAGAACAGCTGTGTCTGGAGAACAGAGCCCTTTGCTCCTAGCCCTGAGGAAACACTTTTATGAATGAGGCACAGAACCAAACACAAACCCTGATAATAGTACACATATCTCATCATTACTAGGACAAATCATTTCTATGACTTTGACAGCATAAATAACTATTTCTCTTTCTTTCTTAATTGGTTGTTTAGCATTTGATATTTTTGCAGGTAAAAGTATTTATCTTTAAAAAGCATTTATTTTCTGTAAAATATAATTTCAGACTTGATGAAGTTGCCAAACTAGCTCAATGATCCCATGTAACCTTCTGTAGTCCAAATGTTCTAACCCCACTTCTTTGATCTGTTTGATGATAAGTTGAAACCCCATAGATACTAATTTAAGATGGATATGGTGTCTCAGTCTTATAATTGTATATATGCATGAGTTTGATGGCTGTGTAACCTACATAGTTAAATTTTTGGCCATCAACTGCTATAGAGATTCTGCTTCATGAAACCTAATAATCATGATAGTGATAATAATATTAATAAACTCTGAATAAATACTTTCTAAAGAGAAGCAATTTCTTTCACAACATCATACTGAGATAAATGAAACTCAAGAAATGTAGTATTGATATAGTAGTATGTTCTAATCTATAATCCATATTCATATTTGTCATTTTCTGAATTATATCACTGTTGATATTTTCCTATGGTTAGGACCATGCAATGATTTCATTTGTAATGTTCTTTAGTCCTGAAATGGTTACTGACTTATGTTTTTTTCAACATTAAAATGGTAAAATACTGGTGTTGGAGTATGTGTGTGTGTAATATAATGTTCCCACTGTAAATCATTAGAAATATGCACATTTTAACAAATATGTACACCATTGAGAAGAGTTTTGTGTCAACATGACACAAGCTAGAGTCATCTGAAAATTGGGACCCTCAATTGAGAAAGTGTATACATAAGTTCTGGCTATAGGCAAGATTATAGGGCATTCGTTATTGATGTGTGAAAGCCCAGACCAGTATGCATATTACCGTCTGTGGGCTTGTGGTCCTGGTTCCTGTAAGGAAGCAGTCTGAGCAAGCCATGAGGAGCTCCCAGAAAGATGCACTGCTCCATGGCCTATGAATCAGCTTCTGCCTGCATCTTCCTGACCTCCTGCAGTGAAGGACTGTGATGTAGAAATGTAAACAAAATAGTTCCTTTCCTCCCCAAGTTGTTTTGGTCATAGTGTCTCATCATAGCAATAGAAAACCTAACTAAGAAAGCCATCAAACCCCAACAAGGCTAGTAAGTATCTCCCAAAAGTTCTGTTCTGTTCCTCAAGAACCCCACCTGGCAACAGGCAAGCAGAAACATGCTCTTATGTACTGTAAGTTTGTGTGGCCTAGTCCCAAGTCCATATACAATGCACAGATTTGCATTTGGCTCCATTTTCTCTGATTATTATCATTATTATTATATATCATCATCATCACTATTTTAGATCACTCATGCTTTTTCCATAGATCAGTTGTTCAAACTTCTTACTAAAAAGCACATTCATATTACACAAATAACCATATTTCATCTTTCACTTGTGAACACATGGTATTCTTCTAAGTTTTAACAATTATGAATAAAGTTGTCATGTAAATGTAACTCATTTTATGAAGGTACATTTTACTTTTTAAGTAAAAATTTAGAACTTTCATAACAAAATCCCCATGCTAAGTGAAGTTTCATTTAACAAGGATCTAGCGTATTTCACATGGCTTGCATCATCTTATTTTCTCTGAAACATGGGAGTGTTCCCTTTGCCTCTGGTCTCTGACAACACTTGATACTATCAATAATTAGGATTTTTACCATTGTGGTGAATTGGAGAATTCTTGTTTCTCTAAGATCTAAATGATACCAACCATCTTTTCAAGTACTTATTGGTCAGCATATATTTTTCTTTGTGAAATATCTGCCTATATTTGGCCAGCTATTATTGAAATTATCTGTCTTCTAGTTGTAACATTGTAAGATATTTTTGTGTAGATAATTTGGATGCAAAGCCTTTGATAGATATATATGTTATAATATTTTCCTATTGTCTTGTCTAAATGTTCTGAAATATACCATTCAATATAGAAAATTTAACATTTTAGAGAAATTTGATATGGTGGAACAATCTTTTTCACACTATGAATACATTTTACTCTCATTGACTGTTAAAAAGATGACTGTCTTATAGCTGGGTAGGAGAAGGTTAGGTGGGAATACCAGACTAAGAGAATGCTGGGAGGAAGAAGGGCAGAGTCATGGAAGTTAGAGGAGTAGCCTGCCAGGGGCAGAGGAAGCATAACAGGCCAGAGAAGTAAATGCCACAAGTCTTTGGGCAGCACATAGATTAATAGAAATTGATTAATTTAAGTTGTGAGAGATACTCAGTAATAAGCCTGACCAATTGACTGGGCATTTATAATTAATAGTAAGACTCATGGTTATTTGGGACAGGTACCCAAACATCTAGCACTTATAGTCACATAAGTCTCAAGAAAACTTAAAAAGACTCTAAGAACACAAAAACCAGAGCCACACTTGATTTCCTACTCATGTCTCTTGTGTTGGTTACAGTAAGGAGATGCATCTCCTACGAGATGCCTGTAGGAGGAGTGAGCAGTCAGCCAACATGAACTACCACCACATACTAAGCTAAGCTACACTAGTGGCAGCTGATGTACAAGTTTAAGATTTGTCTAATTTGATCAAAAACAATAAAGATGTTGTGGGGGAAGTCCTTCTGTGTATATGTTTGTCTTATTGGTTGGTAAATACAGCACTGTTGGCCAATAGGGAAGCAAAATAGTTGGGACTAGGAGTCGTGCAGGATTCTGGGAAATGTAGTCAAGAGTGGAAAGTCGCCATGTGATCCCAGGAAGAGAGGATGCATGAGGCTGGTGTCCTCAGTAAGATAAAACCTTATACACACACACGCGTGCACACACACACACACACACACACACATATATACATGTCTATATATATATATATATGTACATATATACATAAGTTATTATGGTTAATACTTAAGACAGAATTAGCCAATGAGAAGCCCTGGATATTGGCTTACAGCATTGTAACTAACAGATTCTCTGTGTGTTATTTGGGGTTGATGCTGCTCTGGGACCAGGCTGCTGGAAGATTGCTCATTACAAAAGACAGATCCAGATGAAAAATAAAACCCCCTAAATGGGTTACAATATGTTTAAATATATATATAGGCTTGGGAGAGAAAAGAGAAAGGGTAGAGGCCATCATAGATTAAAAACTAAATTATAAATACTAAAGTCCTTAAAAAAGGAATAGAGTAATAAAAAGTAAAGTAAGTCACATAAAGAATACACAGTCTGCATTCTGTGTGTTACTCTATTGTCTGTAAATTTTCTGATTGCTAATGAAGTCATGACAGCTGATAAAACACACTGGATTATGAAACCTGCTGGATGAAACCAATCTATATATTTGATAAACTGTCGTGACTTCAAAATCAAAGTTAGGAGATATGTTACTTTGGGGCACAGACTATGCTTTTATTTCCACAGGAAATGATAGACTATATATTCATTCCAAGAGATGATGGATTAGCTTTGATTGAGGAAAACCTCCCTGATAATCCTGGATGGAAGAATAAAGAAATAAGCCCGAAGAACTATAAGGCACATGATGTATATTTTACCTGCTCAAATATAAAATAAAAAAAATCAGCTTTGGATGATTTGTGTACAGTACACAGTCTATACTTGCAGTAATGCAGATATGAATGTTATCTTTAGAAATTTATGTATTTTCAGAGCAAGGAGACCAAGTATTAATAAAAATGGATGATCAAGGTAGTTCAGCATCCAGAACAACTTCAAGGTTGTTGGCAGAAGCATCCAACCTCACAAATTACTCTAGTTAAAAGCTGACAATTATCCTGATATTTTCAAGGTTCTCCTAAAGATACCATTGCCCACAGACATCAGGAAGTAGTATAGAGAACAATACCTACATTCCCAGGAGATGGAGTATGGACAGATTTTGGCTACTCAACGGATTATTAGTGTTTGTCATTGTAGAGTGGGGTTGGTTATAAGTTGTTTTTCGACATAGTCAGAAAAAAGATAAACAAAATGTTGAATTCAAAGGTCTTTTTCTGAAAGAAAAAGGGGAGATGGATATATGAATGAGATTAAAGGTTAGATTATTGAATCAACTTTAATCAAAAAAATAATCATTAGTCTAATTTTTTACATTTTTTGGATTTTAAGGTTAATTTTGGATTTAAAGTTAATTTTTTTGTACGGTAGGTATGTTTCTACTCATGTTTGTGGTATTGTGTTTATACAGTTCATTTTAAAATGCAAGGTATAATTAGGAAATACAAATTAATAGTAATCTATAATAGTTAAACATAGTCATATTAAGTATGTTTTCAAGGTCATACACATATATATTTAGATAGATAATGGAGGTTAAGGGTGGAATGGAGGGAGAATAGAGAGGGAAAACTGCAGTTGGCATGTTAATTAATTAATTAAAAATATATGTGATTGGTTTCAAATCAGTAACCACTTTACCTTGGTCTTTCCTTACAGGAATTTCCTCCTTATATAATGCATGTTGGTTGATGCTTTGCAAGATTTGTTTAATTAATATTTTTAATAAAACACTGATGACAAAGATGTTTATGTGGAAAATTTTAAAAATAATTTTTGAAAGTTTCACTTTTGGCACATTTCATATTTTATTTTTTAAATATTTGATTATCAAGAGATGGTCTGGGTCTGAAGATTTCTGAAGATTTAGTTGATTATTAATAGACTTAACCTAATTTAGACATCCTATGTCTGTTATTTCAGAATCTTTTGTCTTTTAATATATTTTTGCCTTTTGTTTAATGGTTAAATATCTGGGTTTTGTGTGTGTGTGTGTGTGTGTGTGTGTGTAACTTGTTAGTATCTGAGGGATGATATAATGAAGAACACAATCTAGGTATCTTAAAACAACCAAATGGAACCCAGATTTTTTTGTTGTTGTTGTAGTAGTTTCTGTTCTTCCTTCTTCTTTTCCATATATTTTTATTTAGCCTTTTACAAATGTCTCTTTAAGTTCCCTCTCCCTCCCTTCCTTCCCCACCTCCCAGTCCTCCAAGCCAATCATCCCCACTCCACCCCTCCCCCTTCTCCCCAGAGAGGGCAAGGGCCTCCATGAGGGATTTTCAGGGTCTTGTCACATCATCCTGGGAAGGGCCTAGGTTCTTCCTCATGTGTCCAGGCTGAGAGAGCATCCCTCCATGTGGTATGGGTTCCCAGAGTCCTTCTGTATGCCTGGAATAAATACTACTCCACTCTCCCAGGTCCCACAGATTGCCAACGCCTCCTTTCTGTCACCCAGGTTCGGTGGGAGGGTGTCTGGATCAGTCCCATGCTGGCCCCTCAGTCATCAGGCCGGGGTCCATGTGTTCCCCTTGTTTAGGTCAGCTGCCTCTGTGGGTTTGCCAGCCTGATCTTGATTCCTTTGGTCATCACTCTTCTTTGCAACTGGGTTCAAGGAGTTCAATTCGGTTCACAGCTGTGGGTGTCTGCCTCTGCCTCCATCAGCCATTGGATGAGAGTTCTAGGATGGCATATAAGGTAGTCATCATTCTTATTATCATGGGAGGGCATTTAAGGTACCCTCAATGCCAGTTGGTGTAATTCTTGTAGATTTGAAGATCTCACTAGTGCCAGATCTATCCTCCAACTGGCTCCTTCTTTTCTAGTATCTCCCATCCAATTTTTATTTT